TATTGTTAAGATGTCAGTACTACCTGTGTTGGTTCTCTAGTGTTGATGTAACAGAAATACCACAAGTAGATGGCTTTAGCAAACAGAAATTCATTCTCTTATGGTTTTGGAGGCTAGAAGTACAAATTCAGAGTGCCCACTCTAGGGGCTGGGTAAAGGCCCCTTGACTTTGGTCTTCAGCTCTCCTCTTTTTAGCTAGAGGCATCTCCTAACTCAGACAGCTGCAGGCTGCTAGAGGCTGACAAACTCAAGGTTGGCAGGTAAAATGGCACAAGCCCAAGATCAATAGGCAAAACAGAAGGCAACTGGTTCAAGTCCAGGAACTGGAGATGAAGACTCGACCAATTTCAGGATCCAAAATATGCCAAAAACCTAGAAACCCTCCTCAAAGTTTCTCCATATATACTGAAAGCAGGCCATACCCTGAAGACAACTAGTTAGCTGCTTACAGCAGATTCCACCATGGAGGTGATTACAATCTCATCATGGGGAATAACTTTATCCAGCTGCCAAGCACTCAAAACCACAGCCCCACCAAGTTAACACAAAACCTTAACTACCACACTACCCAAAACAATCTATAGATTCAACATACAAGCTCTGTGCTACCAGAGATCCTAGACTTTACACACTAGTGAGGAAAGAAAGATATATATATTTTTAAAATAAATGCATTATACAATATTCATATAGTTAGAAAGTGTGAAGATAGGAGGAAAGCGTGAATGATAATAATAGAATCTTAAAGTTGACGGAAGACTGATCTGTTTAGTTAAGCCTCATTTTTCAGATTAAGAAACAGAAATCCCAAGTTAAAAGAATAGAGAATAGGAATAGAATAAGAAAAAAGATACCTTAGAAAAGTGCTCATCCATTTAGATCAACAATTTCACCTGTCTGATTCAAATGTTTTCTTATGAACTAGAAAAAAGTATTCTAAGTTTCACTTGACTGAAGACATTATAGCCATCAGGTTGCTAGTTACTTGAACATCTCCCCCATTGGCCTTAGCAGCAATGTCATCCTGTGAGTTGTTGTTAGGTGCCATTGAGTCAATTTTTGACTCATAGTGACCCCATGTGACACAGCAGAACTGCTCCATAGGGTTTTCTAGGCTATAATCTTTAGGGAAAGAGCCCTAGTGACATGGTGGTTAAATCTCTGCTACTAACCAAAAAGTCAATGGTTCAAACCCAGCAGAGAAAGATGTGGCAGTCTGTTTCTGTAAAGATTACAAGCCTTGGAAACCCCTTTGTTGTTGTTGTTGTTATGTGCCGTCAAGTCGGACCCCTCATAGCGACCCCTCCTTGGGTTTCCAAGGCAGTATCACTATGGAAGTAGATCGCCCCATCTTCCTTCCGAGGAGTGGCAGGTGGGTTTGAACAACCAGCCTTTTGGTTAGCAGTCAAGTGCCTTAAGCACTACGCTACCAGAGCTCCCTGGAAACCCCTTTAGGGTAGTTTCATTCTGTCTTACAGGGTCACTATGAGTTAAAATCGACTAAACAGTACTTTTTTTTTTTTTTTTTTTTTAATCTTTACAGGAGCAGATCACCATTAGCAGTCCTTTCCATTAGCAGTCCAGTGCTTAACCATTACGTCACCAGGACTCCTATCTGTACCATCAATTGAGTGTAAGAAATTTTCTCTTTAATAAAGTCATTCTCTAGGTACTGCAGGTGAGGGTGGGTGTAGGCAGGTCTGGACTGAGAGGAGTAACTCATAATACCCAATTCTAGTTCTCCCCATTCTGGAAATCTGCAGGTGAGAGCCCTGCCAGGGCCTTGTCCATTGTGCAGGAAAATGCTTTCACTGGGGTTCTTCAATTAAGCGTAAATTATAAGAGAAATTTGCACTTCACCTTATGGAGAACAGAAGTCACAACCATGACGTTTCCCAATCACATGGAGTCAATGTCAAAGAGTGAAAAAGAAGTAAAGATGTATTTTAAAGGAAGGATCTCAGTTTCCATGAACTATTTTCATGGGTCACAATGCTGACCTATGAGGCCCTTCCAGGTCTAAGAGTCATCATGACTTCAGTGTGTTATCTTGTTTCCTGAAGCCTATTCCTTCTAGAGAGGCAAAACTGAAACTCACATTTGTCATGGGTTTTGCCTCCTATTCCTGGCCTCAGTGGCTTTGCCTTCATCTGTCTTAGAGAGATAAGAAGAATATCGTAGAGTTAGCAGAATCTAACTAAAGGGCTTGAAGCCAGCAAGTCAAGTACATATACATCAGCATCAGTGCCCTGTAGCAAGGGTTGAAATAACAGTAAATTCCCCCATTAGACAGTGAATAGAACAGAGGAGAAGCAGAAGAGAAGATAATATCTTAGTTTCCTGAGTTTTACTGCAAAGAAATGAAATAATAATATAGTAAAAATAATGATACAGCAAGTTTTAGCCTTGGAGAAAAGAGCTATAGGAGTTCAGATTACAAATCTTTATGATCCTAATGCATTAATCATGAGCCTTCTTTAGTTCCTGACTACATTCACAGGGAAGCTGAGCATTGGCCCAAATCCAATATTGAGGAGACTTTATTTTGGAATATGAGGGCACTGCTGGTTCAGTGGTCTTCGTAAAGAAGACCTGGTTTGATTTGAGCAATGGTTTGCATTTGAGCAATACACCTCAGATGTAGCCACCACCCATATGCCAGTGAAATTCTGTGTTGCTATGATGCTGAACAGGTTTCAAGAGTGCTTATGACTAAGACAAAGTAGGAGGAAAGGCCTGAAGATGTACTTTCAAAAATTCAGCCATTAAAAAACCTATGGAACACAGTTTACTCTGACATGCATGAATCGGAGTTGACCAGATGGCAACTGGCTACTAGTTGACTTTAGAGCAGTTTTAGGGTGTCTTCTTGCTGGATTACTGGATCACTGGTTCAATCAGAAGGCACTGCATTCACTGATCTGAAACTTCCTTGAAACCTGTTAGTAGAGTATCTACTGTTTTCCTAACTTGGGGAATGTCCAGGAAGAAGCATAGAAAGTGATCAAAGAGATTGAAAATAAGGTCTAGGGGAAGAATTTTAAGGAAAGGAGCCTATTTTGCTTGGAAAAAGATGAGAAAGCTGAATGTTAGCAACTATAGTAGCTTTGAATGCTATAAAGAGTTCCTACTCACAGTCATCTACTCATTCATTTATTCATCCACCCAAAGCACCATGTATTGTACCAGGAACTGGGGGATATAGAGAACAAGAAAAATAGAGATGAACAAAACATATTCCCTGCTTCAAAAATCCCTTCTCTATTGCCAGTGACCAAAAACTGAACACATCTGAGTGCTGGTTTGGACACAAATGGAAATGAAATCTTAAGGGATTTGAGAAACGGAAATGCTTGCCAAGGCCAAGGTAGCAATGGAATAAGCACATCCTTACCTGTCATTTGTTTCTAAGAACTGTTGCTAGTTGCCACCACCAAGTTGGCTCCACCTCCAGTCCACTCCATGTACAACACAATGAAACCTAGCCCAGTCTTCCTTCATTTTCATAATCATTATTATGATCATGAGCAATTGTTGCAGCTACTGTTCACTTTGAGTGTCTTCAAACATAAGGTGATCATTTACCAGCCCCATATTGGACAATATTTTATTGTATTCCATAGAGTTTTCATTGGCCAATTTTCAGTAGATCACCAGGCCTTTCTTCCTAGACTGTCTTAATCTGGAAGTTCCACTGAAATCTGTCTATTCAGGGTGACTCTGCTGGTATTTGAAATACTGGTGGTATAGCTTCCAGAATCATAGCAATATGCCAGCCACCACAGTATGACAAAGAACTACCGCTGGTTAAATGGTGAAATAATTTTCACAGCTGACTGAGAAAATTTCCACCATAAAAAAAAAAAGACTATAGTTTCAATTTTGTAGTTTGGAATAACCTATTATGGACCTGGTATGGTCACCTTAAAGTAAGACAACTATTTTAATGGTTTCCATTATGCATGTTATCTATCCTTGACACTGTATGATTCATATCAGGGTCTGTCCAGGCCACATAAATAGCAGAAAAAGCAGAAGCCAGTAGTAGCTTCTCTTCCCACCACATTGAAGTTAACAGAATGCCTAATTACCTAGTTTACCAAGAAAATTGATGTGTGCCAATTCATGGTGACTGGCTGTGTTATTAAGTCTAGAATTCCTCTTGTGCCACAGGTTTGTGGAATTTCCCAGACTTTGATTAATTGAGATTTATCATCTTTTAGGAAAATGAAAGTTATGATTCTCATTCACAAATATAAAGGAGATCTTCTACTTAATTGAAAAAACTAGTATATAGATAAGATCATTCAAATACCATGATAGTGTTTTGCTTTGCTTTTTAACTTGAACTTTTCTAACTGCTCAAACAGGATATTTTAAACTTGTTTTGACATATTTAATTTCATTTAAAAAACGTACAAGAGGCCAAGAGAAACCCCCCAGAATTTTATAACTCATGAAAAACATTTTCTAGTCAATATTTGTAATACTTCGTGATCTCTGTGGAGCCTTAAGAGTGAATTCTGTTTTTAGAAATGCTCAAAATTGTCTTCACCCACTTGCAAACTGTCCATACTTAAAATTTATGAGGAACCAGAAAGTTGGTTTTGCCTTTATTCTTTCTTTCTTTATTGTATATATATTATTATAAAATGAATAGGCCATTTTAAGGAAATTGTCCACGTGCTTTTAATCAATTCATAAAATAAGACATTCTGACAAAATACCTACTTTGTAAAAAGCACACTGCTTTCTCTTAAAGATAATGATGAAACACTGAAACAAGTATGTACACACACACAAACGCACACACACAAATTATTAATGTAACTTATGGTAAGGAAACAGGAAAAAATATTTCTAAATAAAATCCAATTGTATATGATATGCATAAAATTTAACAAAAGTGACAGCTATGTAATTCTTTAATTGAAATCCACTTTGTGCCCCTTTTATGCTGAAATAATGTCTCATGGGTCATGTACCTGTTCATAGCTTACCTGTCTCACTCCCAATCAAAGGTTGGTTCGCAAAGTGCTTGACAAAATCCTTCAGAGATGAGAATTCGTTAAAGCCAAATTTAAATGAATATCCAGTATATTCAACATGAAAATGTTTTACAGAATCTTTGGCTCTGAAAGGAAAAAGAAATGTTTGACATTACTGAGCAAATGAATATCATTTTTGAAGGGAAATATACTCTTAGTTATAGTAACATCAATGGTCCTTTCCAAGAACTTAGAATTATGCCACAATCATCACAACCACTGGTAGTTTTATAGGATATTCCTATTTTCTTTGGGCAGACTATGTGTTTTAAATTTTTCACTCTAATGGAAGACCAGAGATACTTCTCCCTGTGCACTCCTCCGCTTAGGAACATTAACCAAATCCACTGCCATCAAGTTTATTCTGACTCATAATAACCCCCATTGGGTTTCCAAGGCAGTAAATCTTTACAGAAGTAGATTGCCCAGTCTTCTTTCTGTGGAGTGGCTGGTGAGTTTGAACCACCAACCTTCTGGTTAGCCATGAAGTGCCTTAGGGACTGTGCCACCAGAACTCCTTATGCTAATCTCATTAGGAGGAAAAAAAAAGGTGCTGTGGAGTTGATTTCAACTCATAGTGACTCCATGTGTTACAGGGTAGAACTGCTCCCGTAGGTTTTCTTGGCTGTGATCTTTAAGGAAGCAGATGACCAAGTCTTTCTTCTGCATTACCACTGAGTGGATTCTAGAATTTAGAAGTTAGTAGACAAACACAAATATTTGTACTACCCACTGAAAGAGTCTTTGGACATTAACCCTCTTAAAGGATATGATATGAATGGCAAAGAATAAAGGTGATAGAGGTGGCTTATAACACCTTCCCCAAATTCTTCTCTGTCCCTAGGCCTCCTCCCTTACCTGTTTTAGAGTCAGTCAGAATCCTGCTTCTATCATTTAATTAGTTGTGTGAACCCAATCTTTGCCCTTCCATGCCTGCTTGACTGCCTACAGAACAATAAATGCCCTACATTGTCATTTTCCACCTTTTTGGAAAGTGGCACAGTATTAAATAATTAAATAAAAATACATAGGCCCACTTTATCTGACCTCATCCTATCTTTCTAGTCTTACCTCCCACTATACCACTCTGTGTAGTGCATACTCCAACCTGAGCGGGCATCAGAATCACCTAGAGGGATGGTTAGAATCCAGCTTGCTGGGCCCCATCCTAAGTCAGTAGGTCCATGGTGGTGCCTCAGAGTTTGTGTTCTTATCATGTTCCCAGGTGATGCTGATGCTGCAGGTCTGGGGTGTGGCACTTTGGGAACACTTGGGGAACCACTGCTCTGATCCAACTGGATCTTCTTCTCTCCAAGGAGCTTCTGCCTCTGTCTCTTAGCTCCTATTATTCTCTACACCTGGCATATTTTCCACCCTGTTTCTGCTGTTCTGAATCCCAGTTACCCATTGTTTCAGTTCAAATGCTACCCCCTCTGTCAAATATTACGTGGTACTCCAGATTGAGTTCCCTACTTATTCTCTTCCCAACAACCCAAACACTTATCTGGCCCTCTTTTGGGACATTTGTTGTATCTACTTTGTGTTCTTTGTATATGGTCTTTTTCCCCCATGAAGCTATACTCCCTGAGGACAAAGCCTTTGAATCTTCTACAATACTTATAAAAAGTGGCTGGCAGAGAGTAGATCCTCTTAAATGTTTATTAAGAGAATAAATGAATGAATGAATGAAAGCAATCATTCTTCTGAACTGGTCTATGGTTCCTGTTACCTCTGCTAATGAACGGTCTGTTTGTTTTGTTTAAAGCCTTACTGTTGTTGAGTTGATACTTATTTCCCCATAAAGCTCAATTGTCTTCATTAAGTGTATACTCAGCACTTTGTTTTATACTAGGTAATGGGTATGACTACTAGGTAATGGGTATGACTACTAGCCAAAAGTTTGGCAGTTTGAATCTACCCAGAGGCACCTCAGAAGACCGGCCTGGATATCTACTTCTGAAAGGTCACAGCCTTAAGCACATTATGGAGCAGTTCTACTCTACACACAAGGGGTCACCGTGCGTTGGAATCGACTTACAGCTAACAAAATTAAGTGATGAACATTCATTTTCTTGGGTTCTATGCATTACAATTGGGAGCTCTGGTGGCATAATAGGAGCTCTGATACCGTAGTTCCTAAGATACTTGACTGCTAACCAGAAGGCTGGCTGTTCAAACCCACCAGCCCCTCCTCAGAAGAAAGGTTGGGCAATCTACTTCCATGGAGATACCACCTCAGAAACCCAAGGAGGGTCGCCATGAGTCCAATCGACTCAATGGCAGTGAGTTTGGTTTTTACACATTACAATTAAGGTTTTGAGACAACTTTGAGGTTCATACAAAGACAAGGTAAGGGAATAAGGTAAAGGATCATTGGCAATTCAGGGAAGACTCATCTAAAAATACCAAGGCAGACTTTCCTAACCCTGCCAGCTTTATTGTGACCAGAGAAATATCATGAAAATTCTCCATGATCCCTGGGTTTTAGGTATTAAATCACATTCCTAAATGCTTATAGTGGCAATCAGTGATTTATATCTTCTAAATTTTACATAGATATAATATATATGCCACCTATTCTTAAGGAACATATGGTCTCATTGTTCATATGAGACATATATAGGTAAAAAGTTAATTAATATTCTTTGAGTCAATGATTCTATAGGTTTATTTGAGATTTCTGGAAGTTCTGCAGCCTAACCACATGGTAAACTTTACCATTTGCTGTTGATCAGAGAAAGCTTGGATCCCTGCCTTCACCCAAACAAGAATTCCATCAATAACAAATTTGCTACAAATGTGAACAGGAAAGAAATGATAAAACCTTCTTATTTCAGGTCATCTTGAGGGATTGCAACACAGGGAACCTGTGATTTTCTTCTAAGAGTTGATGGAAATTTCACAGAATCCTCATCCTCTGTCTAATCCAGACAGAACTTTCCCAAAGACAGGAAGACTTGTGATATGTCAGTGGAAGCCAGAGAGATGCTGAGCTACACCAAACAACCTACTTCTGATTACCACATGGCTAGATTAGCCAGCTTCTCTGATCTGGGAAGCCAGCCAAGAGAAAGGGAGTGGGGAGGGAAAACCCTGAAAGAACAAGGCAATCACTATATTTGGCTGGTTCTCAACCAATGCCCTCCTGCACAGCCAGCACCCAACTGTCAGTGGAGGTTTGCTCAATGCTATGCTGCTGAACAGGTTTCAGTGGAGCTTCCAGACTATGAATGGAGTAAGAAGGAAGACCTGTGATCTAATTCCAAAATTCAGCCAATGAAAACTCTATGGGTCACAGAAGTCTGATTTGTGATTAATAATGGGGATGACACCAGACTAGGCAGCATATTAATCCACTGTGTATGGGGAAGTTGTGACTCAGCAGGCTTACTCGACAACAGCAAACAACAACAACAACCTGATAGAAGCTGGAATAATTTTCTTACCATTAGAGTGAAACAAAGCCTCAAGAAAGTCCATTTATAGGAAAATTTAAAAAGTTCCATTATTGTCTGCTTGAATTTGTGGCTATGAAAGTTGTATAGCCACAAATAATTCTGTTTTTCCTAAGAAATCAAGGAACAGTGAAAAAGGTACTGGGGCAGATTTCAGGGGTTTGGGGTCAGTGCTCTTTCTATTCCTGATTTATTAGGGTCAGAGTGTTCCACCACTCTGGGTTTCAGTTTCTTCATCAGTAAGGTGAGAGATTTGGATTAAACAATTCATAAGGATTCCTTCAGTGCTATTCTTTTTTTTTTTTCTTCAAATGGATTGAGCAAGAATGTTTTGAGAGTCCAACAATTCAAAATTTGGGATCCTTTGACCTGGAACTCCCATAAGTGTCAGGAGAGTTTTGAAGTCTTGCAATTTGAATCTGATGGTAAAGTAAATACCCATGTACTGTCAGGGGGGCTATGATGAATTCATTCAGTTCTATAGTACCTTACCTCACGGAGAGAGAGTACAGCCCGGTCCTTTCATTACTGTCCCGTAGCAGGTAGCTTCCGTCACATCCGTTTGAGAGAAGAAGAGCTTCTGCAGCGTGGCGGGTGAGGTTGCCATGATACCATCTAGGAAGAAGAGAGCAGTGTTTCACTCAGGGCAAGACATTGGTGCATCTCCTTTACTTGGTTTTTCATCTCAAAGAATACTTAGCAACACTCTCTGCTATAGGTACAGCCCAGAGGCCAAGCTCTCAAACAAAATATTAGGACAAGGAAATCTCTGGGCCAGGTTGAAGGGGAGAGTAGACTGAATTGGCTAAGAGCAGCACAACTTTGTAAATAGAAATTTTTAAACAGTCTAAGACAAAAATAACAACCACAATAGTAGCTTTGACCTATTTTCTCATTTTTTATCTCTCCCTCACACTTGGTAGAACTGCCCCATAGGATTCCCAAGGCTGTAGATCTTTATGGAAGCAGATTGCTATGTATTTCTCTTGAGGAGTACAGATGTGTTTGAAGCAAAGACCTTTTGATTAGCAACCAAGGGTTAACCACTGTGCCATCAAACCTACTTGGAGGTAGTTTACCTGAGTCAAAATCCAGATGATAGCTCTTACTAGCTGTACGACCTTAAGAAAATTTCTTAACTAATCTGAGCTTTAATTTCTTCATTTCTAAAATGTTTTGTAAAATAGTTGCAGGCCTACTGTGAGTACTACATAAGTTAACACATATGCAGTGTTTGAAACAGACCTGGCAAATGTTAGTGCTAGTTGTTATCATTAACCCACTGAGATCTACAGAGCCATAAACTTACTATTTATCCTCTGAGGTGTGATATTCTTGTTGCTCAAGTAAAATTTTTTTTATTGCATTCAATTTGTTTCACATAGCAGAAAGCTCTATCTGTACTAGAGTTATTTGCTGAACCCAACAAAGAAGGGGAGATAGACAGTTACACAAACAGCCTGTATGTGATGAGTGAAGTCCTGTGAAAGAGGTGTATGCAGTACAAGAATATCAAGGAAGAGCCCTACTCTGCAGAGAACAAGGCATGAAACTTCAGCTTTAGCAATATAGAGTAAACAAGACCATCTGTTATAGATGAAATTGTGTCCCTCAAAAATATATGTAAAAAAAAATAAATATATAGGTACATAGATAGATAGATAGATGTATATATATATGTGTGTGTGTGTGTGTGTGTCAACTTGGCTAGACCATGATACTGAGTGTTAGATCCATTTTGTGATCTAATATAATTATTTTATATTAATTTTTTTATGATGTTAACGAGGCAGGATTAGAAGCAGTTATGTTAGTGAGGTGGACACAATCTACAGAATTAGGTTGTATCTTGACTCAATTTCTTTTAAGATATAAAAGAGACTAAACAAGTAAGCAGAGATTGGGAAACCTCACAACTACCAAGAAAGATGAGCAAGAAGTAGAATGGGTCCTTTGAAGCCAGAGTCCTTGTACTGAGAACCTCCTTGATTCAGGAGAGAGAAAGTTGTAACACTGGAGATGGAGCAAGATGAGAAATTATGGTGGCAGAGGCAGCAAAATTAGGAGACTGGCAGAAGACAGTGCAGTGGGAGTGCCGACTCACAGAGAGAGAGCTGAGTGCCTTCAGGCAGGAAGCTTGCTAGAGGAGTGGGATTCCTCTGGGCACTTATTGGTAGAGCTAAAGAGGTTTGTAACACTTGCCTGAGCAGGGCAGAGGCCCAGCTGGGCCAAGACCGAGGTGCTAAGGGCCAAGAGACAGAAAGAGAGGCCTGTCTTTGAGCATGGTTGAGAAGTTGTCCTGACCAAAGAAATGTATCCTGAGTAGTTTCTGTCTGAATTGTAATCTGCATGTCAAGACACATGGAGATCTCTAAAGAATGCTGGTCCCGCAGATACTGAGGGAGACAAGCATCTTCCCCTAGAGCTGAGAGAGAGAGAGAGAGAGAGAGAGAGATTTTCCCTAGAGCTGGCACACTGGATTAGGACTCCTAGTCTCCTAAATTGTGAGAAAGTAAGTTTGTTTGTTAAAACCATCCACTTATGGTATTTCTGTTATAGTAGCACTAGATAACTAAGACCTCATTTGTGGAAGGAAGTTTCTACATAGCTCTCCAAGGTATCTGTTTTCTTAATCTGCATTTCCTGATGTGTATTTCTTTACCTTATTTCCTCTTTTGGGCAAAGATGCTTCCGTCCTGTATCAGCTATATTTGCTAGCTGAAAGCAATGACATGAAAAAAACATGCTATAAGAACACTCACTGAGTGATTTATCCACAAAGCAGCCCCATTCATTGTACTGACTTACAGACAAGTTCAAGTGTGTGCACTACAAAATGCTTTCAGAGGACAACAGGATAAGTTAAAAGTGTAACTATAGAAAATTTTAGGTTCAGTCAAAGCCAGAATTCTAATTCTTTCTGATAGAAAAACTCTCTACAAGGTCCCTAAAATACTATTTGCCAATACTTACTTTGAGGATAAACATTCCAGCATAAAATTTAGTTAAAGTCAGTAGAGCATATATTTGAAGCAGTATTTGAGTCAACAAAATTCTAAAACAATATAATCTGGAAATTTCTTTGGATTTTTTTAGTGGAATATACGGTCCATATTTAAACCATTTATAGAATTTTATTTAATTGCAACATGACAGCACTTTTTTTTTTTTCAAATTTTTTTATTCACTGCACTCATATGGGGAGCTCTGGTGACATAGTGCCTACGGCACTTGACTGCTAACCAGAAGGTTGGTGGTTCAAACCCACCAGCCACTCCTCAGAAGGAAGGTTGGGCAATCTACTTCTGTAGTGATACCACCTCGGAAACCCAAGGAGGGGTCGCTATGAGTTGGAGACTACTTGATGGCACATAACAACAACAACAACAGCACACATATGTCAGAACTTTTTTTACTAAAGATTTTTTTTATGAGTCTTTTATATAATAAACACAAATCATACATACGTAAGAAATACTTGAGTATAAAACCAAGAATATTGCATTCTGCTGTGCTCTAATTTAGAAAATCCTCAGACAGTATTAAATTTTGGGTGGTGGTTTTGCTTGAGTCAATATTGCTACTTAGATTTTTAAGCAGTTCCAGGCCCGGACAAGCCTAATATAGAGCTTGGGAGGCAGACTTCTACATATTACTATGCTACAATGCAATGAAGTTCCTCATTTCCCCAATAGCTCTTCCACAAAAGCCTAAATTCCACCTTTTTACTGAGGTAAGTATTCCTCTTGTAGTATCTTGTCTGTGTGTGTGATGAAAATATTCACAACAAACCATACACAAATTCAACAACTTCTATGTGTATATTCCTCAAGCTGTCTCTAGTATCCGTTTAATAAGCACATTTTCCAGGGTAATGAATATAGATCCAATAACATTGTGTTTCCATTGTAGGAATATATCCACCTTTGGTAAGAATGTTTCAAGATTCTGTTCCATAAAGAGTTAAAGTTAAAAATAGAGTTAAGCTGATAGTTTTCCCATAACCCACCTTCCTCACCACTAATCATTCAGTTTTATAAATCTTTACTTGTTAAGCTTCAAATATATGCAAAACTCTGGGCTAGGCAAGTCAAAGGGAACAAAAATGGAAAAGCCATGAATCCACTTAGGAAGAGGTAATACCCCTGGAAGAATTCAGGAAGAAATGTCAAAACCAGGTTTCTTAAACAAGCCAACACCTGAGTTGGCCTTGAAAGACACATAAATTATATTTTAAAGTATTTATTATTATTATTTTAAGGAGCTCTGGTGGTGCAGTGCCTAAAGCATTTGACTGCTAACCAGAAGTTTGGTGATTCCAACCCACGAGCCACTCCGTGGAAGGAAGGTAGGGCAATCTACTTCTGTAAAGATTTACCGCCTTGGAAACCCAATGGGGATCACTATGAGTTGGAATCAACTCAATGGCAGTGGGTTTATTATGTTTTTTGGCTCATAAAACATATGTTGTAAAAATTAAAATATATACACATTAAAATAGAAAGTGAAAGTCTTCCATAGAAGGAGAAATAGAGTCTCACTACTAATCTGAGAGGGAGCTCTGGTAGCATAGTGGCTAAGACACTTGCCTGCTAACCAGACGGCTGGCGGTTCAA